CTATGATAAATAAAAGGTGTGTCGTATGAATTAGATAATACAAGATATAATTACTGCTTAAACATGTCAATTTCAGGTGCCATACACCAGCGACAAACCAGGCTCCAATAGCAGCGCTGATCGCCGTGGGACACGGCATACACAGGATGGCCGAATGTTATCGAGCAACACTTCCGGCCTCACATAATAAATTATTTACGAACTTAGGAAATATATAGAACTTATTATTCTTATAATATAATTAGTAATTTCATAATCAAGTAAATAGTTCATTCATATTTTCTTTATACTTATAATATTTTATTGGCGCCTTCCGCTTGACAGCTTCCGGCGCAATAAGCCTTAATGTTATTTGTTACATAATTCGATATTATTAAATAATAATTGTACGTAAATAATCAGCAGAATAATTAAGATGAACAATGTTTAATATTACCTACTCAGTTTGTATTAAAATAGGTCAAGATGATTGTATAAATACCGACGGTTAGCATATCTCTGTTGCATTCGTATTCTACCCACCATAACGTGTACTAAAGAGAATATATTATTTCGTGTGGATGTAAATTGTCTGAATTGTCGCCGCCACCCTGAGGATCCGTTTATAGATGACTATTGTCTCCAATAATCAGTCAGTTATAATATATACAGTAGATTGGGGGAATAGAGACTAGAGTTAGAATAGGGACAAATCTGGGATGTCCAATAGTTTTGTTGAATTATTAGATTTAACTTTGTTGAACTGAAAATTACTTTTATAGTATATTTGAAGGTTTGTAACTCATTAAATATATTAAATAGTTATTAACCTAAAGTTAGGTACCTGCCTAACAATTAAACAATGCCAGCCCTATCGAAAAACTCTATTGTCCCCATACGTAACCTGATTCACCCAAAGGCCAAGGTGAATAGGGTCAAGCTAGGTTTTTCAGTTTTTGTGTTTATTTTGTAAAGAACTATGTATAATAACACATCGTATATAAAATTTAAGCCTCCGGAACCATTTTTATCTCAATTTTAATGGTATTACTCTAAGAAAAACCATTGAAAATTTGTGTTGGATTTGGAAAGGGTCCCGATTACCCCAAATCTCCGGTAGCAATAGAAAAACCTACACTATTATCTAACCAGGCTTAAATATGGCGATTGTGGTGAAAAATATTTATGGTAAGTATAGGTACATGCATTCGCAAGAATTGTTTTTTTTCTTTATCAGTAGACATGCATTTGTAACTGCGGGAGCTCAAGGTACAGTTAGCTAAGTATCAGAAGAAACGTAAAGTTCAAGATTCAAGATCATTTTTATAAAAAGTTAAACCGTAGTCTTCCGTGACCACGAGCATTGTAAATTATTCGAAGCGTCCGAAATTATAAACGCGAGATTAGACCGTCAATGTACTTTTAATTAAACATTCACATTAACCAAAATTTACTTTTCGAATCAAGTAAACTATTTAATACTAATCGCGTATGTGTGTGTACATGGAAAGTAAGTCAAATGCCTTGTGAGTTGTTATAGCAATAATTAGTAGACTAAGAATGGATATATTTTTAATGTCAGGTGCAGCACACAATACGATCCTAACATTGTCATATTCATGCTACAGCTGATCTTCACTTCTAGGTATGAGCGGAAAAAAATTTAAAACATGAAAGTATCTAGCCTAGGCTATAGACAATATACTCTGGGGTCGGCTATGGAGGGTAGAGGTAAGAAGAACCGTCTCATATGGGAGAAGCTTGAAAAAGTGTCCCACTTTCAGCACTAAATAACGTTCAAAAATCCTCCAGAATGGCGCTAGCATAGGCACAGGGTATGATATGAATTGTGCAGTTGTTATCTGATTGAAGTATGCTGAGTTAGCAAATTTTATATATTTAATGACTAGAGTAGTTAGTGACAGTGTATTAGGCAAGACCTCACATGTTTACGTAGTCCAAACTAATTTCATCAACATAACCTAAAATTATTGCTGTAGTAAAACGTGGAGACATCGATTGCATTTTCTTATCAGCTTTAAATAAAATACTTGTTGTAATTTTGTAGTGCTTACAGTTCTTTCGTCCTTTTTTATTTCTCTATCTTAGTCTAATAACTTTCAGCGCCTTTTTTTAAATTACCCGGTTGCTACTGTAGCGCTACCTTTATTTAGCAGATTTTAACGGACACTTTTTCACACACAGAGACGGTTCTCCATACCTCTACCCTCCATAGACTCGGCTCATAGACGACATAGACTTAGTGTTGTAACTTATTAACTCCATGGCTCGGCTATTAGTAAATACAGTTTGCTGGAAAATATCAAATATGCAATTACTTCCATAGGTAAGTTAATTTGTTTGAAATTTAATAAATTGGGGTGAAATTAAATGAAATGGAATGAAACGAGATATGATGAAATGAATTTACTGAGACTTCATTGGACTTCTTGGTAGAATTCGAGAAATATTACATGTTGAAACCTGAAGGATCGTTAAATTAGCTGTGCGTCTCGATTAACTGTAATAAAACTCGTCGTGGCCCAGTATGGCGCATTAGTGCGTTCGTACTTAATGATGCAATATCGCTAAATACATTTCTGTTCAAGCATGTCAGTCAGTGTCTCGTTTTTGTCCTTTCTTATTTCAATGTAATATTATCCTGAATGGACAGTTTATTATGACTGTTCAGTCAAGAATCAAAGCAGCATGTCGACTAAAATGTCAAGCAGAAAAAAAAGTTTGAAAATTGAAAGTATAGGACATTTCATATCTTTAGGGTATCGAAATGCCACTCGGACCATCACCCTACCCAAAAATGATGCAAAGCAATCATGAGTTCCTGTTTCACGTGTGTAACAGCTCCAAAATTATTATAAGCGACAACACTTAAGTTGTAATATGTGCAACATGTAGATTAGCTTGGATAGAATTTCTGCTTCTATGAGCTATGCATGAACGCACCCATTACGTAATGGAAAAATGGAACGGATAAATTTTAAATAACATATTTAAATTACAACATATTTATAAGCTTGAGGGTAGACATTATCTTGCTGAACACCAAGTAAAACGAAGTCACTTTTTGATTCCTGATTTAATCAACAATACGTTATCTTAACAATTCACTTTAACACTTGTCCAACTTTAACCAGTACGTACAACAGTCACTGAATCACACAATGTAACAAGGATATAGTAAGTGCACCAGGCAAACGCAGTCCAACGAATGTTCCTTGCGAGGCACGTACCGCCTTTTCATACTGGCCGGCGCAGCTGGCTTATTTATGAGTCACTTCTGTTGCACCTGTTGTTTACGAGTGGAACGACACGGCCGGCGCACCTGGCTTGTGTGAGTCACTCCTATTGCACGTGCTATATAACAGAAATATCGTTAACGCCGTCACGGCCATACTGACGTGCGCTCGTCCTCGTGCGCACATTCTTATGGTATGTCTGTGACCAACAAACGTGTTCGTTCATCCTGACATTAACGGATGCAACTTAAAACGTGGTCTATGATATTAACAATCTAGTACGGTTCGGTTCGCATAATTCTTCAGAAAATCCTATACTGGCTATAAATAGCCTTCAGACTGCTTACATACCTGGGCCAGTTCATTTAAAACTCTTCAGGTATGTAAGTATGTCCCTTTTAACTTAGACCGGAATTGTTATCCCTTCAGTTTTTNTACTGGCCGGCGCAGCTGGCTTATTTATGAGTCACTTCTGTTGCACCTGTTGTTTACGAGTGGAACGACACGGCCGGCGCACCTGGCTTGTGTGAGTCACTCCTATTGCACGTGCTATATAACAGAAATATCGTTAACGCCGTCATATTTATATTTACAAATTGCATATGGATCAAAATATTTTGTTTTTGTGATTAAATCATTCGAATTGGCGTTCCTCTAGTTAATAGTGCTCATTTTCAGATAAGCGTTTTTTTCGTACCCGATCCTGTGGACTGAGTGGTAAACAGTTGACATCACCCTAAATACGTCATTACGGATCCTGTCGATCCATTAACGGTGCTTTTAGGTAACTCGAGCATCGGTCACTATCCTCGCCGAACCCGTCGCTTCCGACGAAGGGCTCGACGAGTAAATTAACCCACTGAGTTTCTCGCCGGATCTTCTCAGTAGGTCGCGTTTTCGACCCGGTGGTAGATTCTGCGAAGCACTGCTCTTGCTAGGGCCAGTGTTAGCAACACTTCTGGTTTGAGCCCTGTGTGCTCACCTACACGTTATTAAGGCGAAGCTGAAATAGCTAGGCTATCAGCATAGGTGTAGGAAAAAAAACCGTTTTCACGCAGAATTTTTTTGTTTGATTAATAAAAAAAAACACAGAGTCAATCAAATCACACAATATTAACAATTATCACAATGAACAATATTATATAGACAGTTGTCGAAACTTATCCAAATAAGTATACATTTAAAATTATTTTTTTCTATTATTTGTGGTTTCATTCTATTTTCTTGTTGTATTTAATTGCACTCTAAAAATCAAATTCGATTTTCTACTATTTGATGTCGATTCAGAGATCTTTTTCGATGAAATAATCGATCTTTTGTGGTAAATTCTTATTAACTCCATGGGTAAATTGAACTTAATCGGCATCTCTAATTTCGTTCTTAAGCATAGATGATACACCGTGATACACTTCATAAATTCCATAGACCTATATAGTAATAAATTCACACTTCAATCATTTATAATCTGTGATCACAATTTTCACGTGTTTGAGTTGACAACTAAGAAAAAGTGTGCATCTCGTTGTGTTTTTGAAATTTAATGTAAACAAAATGCCTGTGCTACAAAGAATAAAGTACTTTTCTTCAACACTAGCATGAACATTACTTATTCTTCACATAACTTGCATCATTTTACAGTAGTAAATTTTTTTTAGGAAACCTACAACTCGTAAAGGAAAAAAGGTTCTACTATCGAAAGAACCTAAGCCCATTGAAGGTCCTAAACAAAGTATCTTCCTTCAAGGCCGCAACCCGTCAGAAAGGACAAGAAAGCTACTAAAGGATATCTATGATTTAAAAAAGCCTGACGCCGCTTATCTCAGCCGCAAAAACGATTTTGTCCCATTTGAAGACAGTAGTTTGATTGAGAAGTAAGTTATTTTGCATTTTATACAAGTGAATGTATATTAAACTAAAGTAGCTTAGCTCCCTGTTCTCGTATCCTGCTAGGTAGGATCAGTATTAAATTTTTAACTAAGTTTTTGCACTCTTCAGAGCATACCTACATCGTTGCTTTATACTAGTTATATAGGTTATGGCAGTTATGTCGTTATTTAATAGCATTTATAATAATTTCGATGCACTTTGCTACATTGTCATTTTAAATTTTATCGACATAAAATTTCCTTAGTAAATAATATATGAATCCCCATGTTGTTTATTTTTAGAGCTCTTATTTAGAAATAGCAATACAATTTTTTTTAATTGTGAATAATGTAACTTAATTATGTGTCATGTTCTTTATGGTCTATTCTATGAATAGCCACATATGAAATATAATATAGATTGATTTTAAACCAAACATTTTCATTCAAGCATCAGTAATAACAAATCAGATTGGATTAAAAAGTTCCAATTTAGAGAGTTTACTTAGTGATTTAAACATAATATATTTGTTAAAATTATTTTCTTAAAATTTGTTCATATGAACCCTATATATAATATTGAAATTATTGCTCTTTAATTAATGTAAAAGAAAGTTTTCAGTCGTTGTTATTTGGATTTAAATGGCGATATTCATTAAGTCTGATTCTGAAAAGTTTGGAAATGCTACACTGTAATGACAATCAAAACTACGTACATGTTATATTCTCATTATTCTGATTTTCATTATATTTTTGTACAAACTGTAACATATTCAAAACACCAGATATCAATCTCATATTTTTTATTAACAATAAAAAATATGAGATTAAATCATAAAGTAGTTGTAATAATGTCTACGACTTGTGAAAAGTGAACAAAATATTATAAAAACATAGTAAAAGTAGTCTTATACTTTCTATTGTCTGCTTTATAGGTTATGTTACAAAAAAGAGGCAGCTCTGTTTGGTGTTGGTTCACACAGCAAGAAGCGCCCCCACAACATTGTTTTGGGTAGAACTTTTGATTATGGAATATTGGATATGATTGAACTTGGTGCTGAAGAATACAAGGCAATGTCAGAATTTCACAATATAAAAGTCCTGGCTGGTTCTAAACCATGTTTATTGTTTAATGGACCTGCTTGGGAGCTAAACCAGGATTTAAAACGATTGAAGTCACTGTTCTCTGATTTCTTTCACAGAGAAAAGGTAAAAAATAATATTAGAAAATTAATAAAATCATTTTTTCATGAATGTCAAATAAAGGAAGGATTTATTACAGTATCAGTAATTGAATTAAAATGTTATGTTGTTAAAATGTTATACCAGTACAGCATATCTTTAAAAATTATAATAATTAAGCAATTATAATACAATTTAATAACTATAAGTGCTTTGTTGGTACTTCATATAATTAATTAGTAATACCAAATTAATTTCCCACCTATCATTAAATTACTATATTTTATTTCTATAGTAATGAAAATTGACAATTATTGTAAAAATAAATGGTATTTATATTTTCATAGGTGGAAACCATTAGATTGCAGGGATTAGAACATGTCCTCAGTTTCACGGCTACTGATGATGGCTTGATCTACTTCAGATCGTACAGAATATCACTTAAGAAAAGTGGCCAGAGAACACCCAGAGTGGAGTTGGAAGAAATAGGTAACAATCGTTGTTGAAATCACAGTTCAAGTGAATAAATATTCACAAGCTTGTCATTTTGCATATTTTGTATGATTGTTGACGGAATCATTTTCTTATCCGCAAACTGAATAAAAAATTTTTTGGCAACTGCAGGTCCGTCAATTGATTTCAAATTAAGAAGAACTAAGTTAGCGTCTGACGATCTCTACAAGGAAGCTTGTAAAATACCGAGAGAGATGAAACCAATCAAAAAGAAAAATATCTCCAGAGATGCATTTGGAACTAAACACGGCCGTATTCATATGGGTAAGCAAGATATCAATAGGCTGCAAACCCGAAAGATGAAGGGCTTAAAGAAAACAACCGAAGAAAAGAAAAAAATACTTCTTCAGAAAAAGAAAGATAAGAAAGCAGCAAAACAAAAACAACATGTAGAAGTATAATAAAGAGTACATTTACTATGTAACTTTTGTTTGATTGCCACTTTAGTGTCCATGAGCTAACGAATAGGATGCCCAGTGTACCTATATCGATCTGTCACACACATCTCATTTGATTTCCAAGAGCACGTACGTCCATACATGCTGTATCGACTAGTTTATTTTCCTGTGTGAGATGAGCAGATCGGCTCTTGACCACACTATAGTTAAGTGAAAGAACTTGTTTCACCGTATAAGCCGTGTATAACTGGATATTGCTCGGTAGACCAAAAGGCCAAATTTTGTTGGAAATATGTATCTTGGTAAGTTTATTTTGGATATATTAGCGCGTTTTAGGTTTGTACTATATTTCTTTTGTTCTATGACGGTACCGCTACAACCGCATTAGTTGCATGATNCTCTTGACCGCACTATAGTTAAGTGAAAGAACTTGTTTCACCGTATAAGCCGTGTATAACTGGATATTGCTCGGTAGACCAAAAGGCCAAATTTTGTTGGAAATATGTATCTTGGTAAGTTTATTTTGGATATATTAGCGCGTTTTAGGTTTGTACTATATTTCTTTTGTTCTATGACGGTACCGCTACAACCGCATTAGTTGCATGATGCTAGGCAACCTTATGGTGCCTGATCTCTGGCTACCGTTTAGCCGTACGTGGAACACAAGTTTGTCAATCTGCTTAACGATACGATAACTATAGGACTCCCGGTATACCCTTATCGAGCAATACAGCTGTGCAGGTGCTCGAATCACCATATGCAGGTACCAGTTTATTAATTTTTTTCCTATCTATTTGTTGGTAGCCGGGCTTTCTTTTTTCGGGCCGGGGGCCGAACCTCCTACGAGGTCCCCGCGCCTAGGGGGCGCGCTAGGTACGTGGGACTTGACGATCTGCAAGGTGTTGGGAGTAGACCGCGGGCCCATGGAATTTTAGGTCCCTACTACATTAAACGACTCTCCTGCACTCTTACACCTGACGTCCGATCTCCGTCCGGGGTCAGAACCCGGTCAGAGTAGGGGGTTCACGCGGTCAACACTACAACCAGACATGCGGCGCCACCTCGAGGACACCCGACCGACGGGTCGTCGAGGGTATAGTCGACGACCACCGACACCGGTCTCCGCGGTTCGGCGGCCCTAACCTAAGGGGCTGTCCTAACTACGTATTGTTTGGTAGCTCACGGGGCTTAACCTGAGTCACTTTGCTCTAACATTTACTGTAGTAATCTACCACTGGATTGGAACTGCGACCAACTGAGAAGATACGGCGAGGAACTCAGTGAGATACGTCTGTGGTTGCACGTCGAACCCTTCATCGCATTCGATGAGTTGGACGGGAACGGTGACCGGTGCATGGAATACCTAAAAGCATCGAGAGTAGTTCGCGAGAATTTGAAATGACGTGCTTAGGGCGACGATGGCGGTATGTTGCCAGGTCGTTTTTTAAAGAAATACGTAGCAACACCTGTGTACGAATTTCAAGGAATAACATGTAAAAAAATATACTATGTATAATAAATATTTTAACACTATAAGTCCAACTGGCGGGGCTTTTGTGAGATTTGTGAGTTCGTTGTTCCGGGCTGTTGGCGAAGATGATATAGAAATAATGTTTACACTGATTTGGTATGAGGTTTTGCTATAAAAGCGACACAATAACTAAATTAAAATACAAAATGAGTTGAGAATCGTACAGTTAAACTAAGACTCGCAATATTTTACTGGTCGTCGTCGCGCGCGCTGAGGGCGTGTGTTTTCGCGCTCAGAGAGCTCTGTCTCAGCGGGGGGTAAGGCGGCGTCGGGGGCGGTATCGCACGTTCGGAAATTTCGTTCCGTTATATCCTCCCCCTACGAGTCACTAGAACGCCTCGTTAGTGGCTCGGCAGAAACAACGACGGGGCCGTCCACGCAGGCGTCGAGGCTGTACTGGAGCTGAGACCTGACCGGTTTGATTACGATACGGCTTCAAATGAGAAGCATGAAATTTCCCTAAAATCTGCGAATTCAAATCAGTAACCTCATAGGTAGTAGGACTAACGATATTGCTAATCTGGTAGGGTCCGTCACGCTTAGGCATGAACTTCTTCGTTCTACCTTTGGCGGCATCACTTAACAAGTGAGTAGAGAGAAGGACTAGATCACCTACTTGGTAACTGGGACCAGATAATCGACTTTTATCGGATTGCAACTTCCTGTCATCCTGATGATGTTCAGCCCTATCTCTAATTGAATCCCAATTATCTAAAAATCTACGGAGATACGGAGTAATTTGAGGAAGGAAATTTTCTTTATCTAGTATGCCCCTTAAATCACACTGCGCGTCGAATGGGGTACGCATTTCTCTGGCAAACATAACCTGAGCGGGACTGGCGCCTATCGTGGCACACGTGGCACTATTCATGGAAAATCGCACGGAAGACAGATTTTTAGGCCATGATCGGTGCTCATTTTTGACCAATATCGAGAGCTGAGTACGTAGGTCCCGGTTCTTCCTTTCAGCAGGATTTGCTTCTGGATGATATAGAGGAATGAGGTTTTGCTTGATGCCAAGAATAAACATGCATTGTTGCATGGTGGCGGAAATAAATTGGACACCATTGTCTGAGATAATACGGCGTGGGAAACCATATCGAAGGAAGTATTCATTAATGAGTACGGGCGCACAAATTTCAGCAGTGGCTTCTGTCAGAGCGAACAATTCCACCCACCTGGTGGCGGTGTCTTCAACTAGTAGTACCCGTTTCTCGCCACGCTCGCCTTCCGGTAAGGGTCCGAAGAGATCGATGGCGAGTACTTCTCCACGTTGATTGAGGACTGGTGTCTGTAGGAGTCGCCGACTGCCTAACGCTATCTAACAGCTCCCGGAACGCGTCTAGCTGCGTTCGTTGAAGGGTGTCGATCAGCATGGTGATGTCTTCCAGGCGGAAGCAAACACTGGCGGGCGGCGCGTCACTCGACGGCGCGTGGGGCGGCGACGCGGCTCTCACGTCGCGCTCCTCGAAATTGGGCATCTTCTTCGGCGGCATTATTTGACGACGGTTTAGTCGGTAAAGTCAGGAAAACACAAATCGTTCATGCAGGCACAATAATTTCTTATAAATATCACTTCACAGCCCCACGTTGGGCGCCATTTTTAACACTACAAGTCCGACTGGCGGGGCTTTTGTGAGTTTTTGTGAGTTCGTTGTTCCGGGCTGTTGGCGAAGATGATATAGAAATAATGTTTACACTGATTTGGTATGAGCTTTTACTATAAAAGCGACACAATAACTAAATTAAAATACAAAATGAGTTGAGAATCGTATAGTTAAACTAAGACTCGCAATATTTTACTGGTCGTCGTCGCGCGCGCTGAGGGCGTGTGTTTTCGCGCTCAGAGAGCTCTGTCTCAGCGGGGGGTAAGGCGGCGGCGGGGGCGGTATCGCACGTTCGGAAGTTTCGTTCCGTTATAATATGTATTATAATTTTCGTTATTACTGGTGGTAGGAAGTCATTTGAACCGGACCCTACGGGTAGGTAACACTGCCTTGTCTATTTCTGTTGCGATGCAGTAATGCGTTCCGATTTGAAGGGTGTAGCAGCCGTTGTACTACTTGTGTCTGAAGGCGAATGGTGGCATCTTTAAGTTGGTATCCAAGGGCTCCGGTAACCCTTTAACATTAGGAAGGTCTTCTATACAATAAAAAATGTAGTTGTAAAACATTTAAATAAAGACCCCTACTATGGTCATAACCTTATTACGATAAAATACGGGTGACAAGAAATTACTTTTAAATATACAAATAGACGTCGAACAAGACAGTGGACATTTGGCCGTCGAAGCTATGACGTAAATGTCGCAATGTTTTTGTTTACACAATATTAATTTAATGCGTTTTTTAAGTAAACAGCATAGAAAAAGCCCTCGTTCTATTTATCTGCATACTTTATCTGCCGTTGTAATTATTCAGCTAAGGTCTTTTTAACTTTAAAATGGAGCAATAATCACTTTATAATATTATTATGAACCTTTGAAAGGTACATTCAAAGGTCGACGTTTTTGTTTGGCTACAATATATAACATTCACTTTCGCAATGAACATATCTAATAGTATTAATTAATTTGTTGTCGAAAAATGATTTTAATTGAAAATTTATATGGAGATTAGTAATTCGTTCACTTTATTAGACAATGTAGGTGCTAGGTCAAACATGTTACAAAACTGTTGTTTTATTATTATAATATTTATAACTTTTCCTCGCGTAAATGCCTCGTAATATTAAAAGTAGGTACACGACATATTCTACTTACGTGTTCATCCTTTACGTTAAACAAATAAAAAACTACAATAAGGTACAGGTAAATGTTCTGGCATTTTTTTTAGAAGGTTGTAGCTATAATTTTGGGTATCCATGAGTGTAATAATCCGCTTAATAGGTACCTATACAAAGTAGGATCATTCGGAGTAACACATCGAAAAAAGTTCATATTGCCGAATCGCGGAGTGAAGGAGGCTTGTGTTTTAAGAATTGAGAAGCGCTCTTGAGTTGTTAGGTCTCCTTCGGAGGTGCTCGAGCAGCTGTTAGCAAATCCCACCCCTTCTGGCTGAGTCTCTGCTCGCCCATCTGTACTGGTGAAACCGGAAAGGACTCCGGGCAACCAGTAACCGTTCAATCATAAAAAAAAAAAACTTATCTATTCGATACTCCAAAAGCGATATACGACAAGAAATTGTGCATACGATTTGATTCGTCGATTTTCGGGTTCGGTAAGTTTTTTTTTTTTTATTGCTAAGATGAGTGGACGAGCTCACAGTCCACCTGGAGTTAAGTGGTTACTGGAGCCCATAGACATCTACAACGTAAATGCGCCACCCACGTTGAGATGTAAGTTCTAAAGTCTCAAGTATAGTTACAAGTAAGGTAAGTGGTTTAATATTAATTTTATTCATTCGGGCGTAACTGGAACAACCTCATAAGCTACCAGCGAATAAGTTCTAAAGTCTCAAGTATAGTTACAAGTAAGGTAAGTGGTTTAATATTAAT